AGCGCCTTATCCACCTGGCCATGCCGGACCTCTACGTTAATTAACATTGATCGTAAATTTGTTTTAAAGTACTCAACAAGTTGAATCGCTTTTTCCTACAGTCAAAATTTACATTTTAAGTATCTCGTAGCTAATACAACAGACTGGCGGGTTTAGTTAATGTTAAATGCAAACCTACACAATGTTCTATTTGTGTTCTACCCACCATGAATATCGAAACACAATTTTTAACGTTGTAAGGCTGCAGAATTAACGGTTGAGCCAGTAGAGAGTAACACAACAGAAAATCAAATTTAATATATTTATGTTGTCTCGTACTTTTAGACATTGTTAAACAGACGTTTTATATGATTTTATAAAGATAGCTCGTGATCTCAATGAAGAGATGGTGGTGAATTTTTTTTAAATAGTATTCCATCTTTATAAAACTCATATTAAAATGTTTATTATGACTCTTAAATTTTGGTTTTAGTATTATCTAAAGCATCGAAAAAGACAGAAATTTTTATTTTTCTAAAGTACTTTGACACTTTTTTAATGTGTTGTATATTGACACTTTTCTTAATGTTCCGTATATTGACACTTTTTAAATTAAAATTTATTTATTTTTACTTACTGTGAATTAACACTAATTGACAGCTTACTCATAGTTAGTTCATCTACCGTATTTTTCCTTAATACTAAACTAACTATTGAACAAGATTAACATATTGTTTTTAATCAAGAACTAAATGAACCGACCTCTAAAGTGTTCGTACTTAGGTTCAAAAGCGTAATAAGGTTTTACAAGTTGCTGAAATTTATTGTAACAGTTTACTATAACGTAAATCCAAGTATCCCTGTATTTCAATTTAGTGTCTGTTTATTTGTTTTTATTAAACGCAAAGCTATACAGTGGATTATTTGTTCTCTATCCACAGCGGTATCAAAAGCCATATTATTAGCCCTCGGACTTTCTGCTGAACCAAATTTAATGGAAATTGGTTTGTTAAAATTCGCGCTAAATTACTCGAGGGCTGTCTGTGCTATCTGTCCCTAACTTTGAAGTGAAAGACTAGATGATAGACAGCTAATTAACACCACCACTGCCTACTCTTGGGCTACTCTTTACCAACGAATAGTTGAATTGACCTTCACACTATAACGCTTCCACGACTGATAGGGAGAGCTTGTTCGGTGATGGGATTCGAACCCGCACCCGCAGATTGCGAGTCAAGCGCCATAACCACCAGGTCATATCAGGCCCAGTTAGTGTAAACAGTACTTATGAAACGAAGTATTTACCTTAAGTTTTTCTGTAAACTTCGTTATAGTGACATTATGTTTTTATTAAATGAATAAAACAAAACAAAAATATGTAGTTGTTAAATATTCTTTTTTATTTTACTTTCTTTATTTAAAACTAAAAAACTATTGAAATTTGATATCTACATGCATGGGTAATACCACAATCAGAGAAAATAATTATGAACGTTCTGCACAAAATAAGAATATACATACATAATAAGAAATATAGATATTTCACGTTAATAAAGATTGGACAGAATTTACGATCACTTGGCTTAGTCGTGTCTGAAGCCTACAAAGCAGTATTACGTCTTTTTTGTCACCAAAGTTCTAGGAAAATTAAATTTAGTTTTCACTCAGGCATACAAATCAGATTCCTTATGAGTAGTCTACTATATGTTTTATTCGGCAAAAAAAAAGTGACTTAATTATATAGATTTACGACCAAGAACATTATGTTACTCAAAGGGAGATAGCTCGGAAATAATGTGATTTAGTTTTTTTAAACGTAAATGAGCAATGGTGAACAGACAATTTATTTCAACTTTCGAAATGATTGGAGAACCTCTGGAGGGTAAATAATGATCGAATCATTATGGAAACCTATGAGTGAGCATTATGAAACGTCAGTTCAATTATAACCAAGTTGCGGATTACCCCTTTCAACATAATCATGAAGATTCAATCTTAAATATTAAAAAAAGGACGAAAAGTCATTAAGCTTACTGAACAGAGTTTCAGTCGAAAACTATTATATTGTACCCTTTTGTAACTAGAAAATAATATATCGTTATTCAGGTATATTCAAATGAATCTATTCAGACATTTTCGTATAGGTGTTGTGCAGATAGTTAACATACATATAAACAGGATGTAAATTAGTTGTAAATTTGCTTTAATCCTCATATCAGGCTAAAGTTACATACCAAAAATGTCCATTTTATAGGGTCTGTACTTGTTTAGTCATACTTCTGTGGCATACCCAAGCAGCGTGGTAGTACAAAGATTGTTACAAGTTCGTATAAGCTGAAACTTAGTGATTATATAGGGTTGATGTGTGCAAAAGTCTCCTAACTCACCAACAAGAAAAAGTATATTAAAGGTCAGAAACTGGGCAATATTACGATACAAAGTCAGCATATTTAGCCAGTGTGCGATAAATATTGTGTTGTTTCTTGTTTTGCACAACTTCTTGAGTCTTGAAACACAGATCTGTCAGTTATAAATCTACATTTATAGATCGTAGGCCTAGTTGCTAGCAAATAGGTTAGTTCCAGGTTTAAGAACCAATCTAAAACACATATTGTATGAATTGCTAACAAATAGGTTAGTTCCAGGTTTAAGTATCAATCTAAAACACATATTGTATGGAATTACTATTTGTAGCTTGCTGCTTGAAACATATAATTTGCAAACAATAATATATATATTTCATTTATTTATCTGTTTTCATAAATCAGCTTTTTTTGCCAGATTATATGAAGAACCTAAAATTGTATGTAAAACAAAGAGAAACGTTTTAGAAATTATTTATACATGGTGGCAGAAACGTTAGCTAGAAAAATATTGGATTTTTTTCTTTTTATAAGTATATAGATTTGTGTGTGTGATGCACCTTAATAGGAAATAGTAACAAACAGAGCAACAAATTTTACGAATATACCTTAGAGTGTTAGTTTTAGCAAGTGTTGTTTTGTGTTTCCCGTTTCAGTCCTAAACAAGTTTATTAATTTAAATTTTTCAAACTGCTGTTTGGAATTAAGGCCCATAATTTATCTCTTCTAGGCGTTAAAAACTAAAAAAAAACAACAACAACGCTTTGAAGTAGTAATTAAATATATTTAAAAACCTTGAAAACAAATTGGTTGATGCTAACTACAAAACTACCTTAGAGTTGTAATTAAATACATGAGTTTTTTTTTCGGTTTCTTCTTTAGTTGAGCATGGAAATGAGTTGATTAACAAAAGTGGCAGAGTACAATTCAGTGAGGTTATTTAACAAGTAAGAGAATAAAAAAACAGCTTATTGTTGAACTACTACAAGGTTTGTGCGAGAGAAAAAAAAAAGATTCTTAGGACAAAAGATATTTCGTGGAGACAAATGATTCTGTTTAATGGAATTGTAGAACTGTCACTACTGTGCACATTAGACCAGTATATAATTTGATACTGGTCATTGATACTCATTCTTCAGACTAGCACTTAAGCCGTAGACAAATTACTTCTTTGTCTTTACCTTTTGTGAGGTTTGTAATTATTCATACGGAACCTACTTAAGTGTTTTCTAAGTTAAATCCATTTTGTTAGAAACCATCTACGTTGTCTCTGCTTTACATCACGATACCTCCATTTATACTGAAAGAGGATATCTCAGCACAGAAAGTTATTTTGAACTCTGGGTAATATAAATGTCTTGGTTTAGATTGAAAACTTTGTCGATAAAACATACGTCCATTTTAAGATACAAAAGGAAGACGTTTTCATCCACTTCAGTATAAAAATCGAAATAAATATAAATACTTCGGTTTACTTGGTTGTTTTTTTATAACAAGTAATTATATGCTGTTTTTGTTTTTACTTACTTATTGATATAACTTTTTTCGTCTTAATACCGTGTAATAACCTATGAATATTTGAGGTTAACTTAATTGCGTGTTATTTTGAGCAATGTATTTTTACACTACATTCTACGAAATTCTACTATTTAGCACGTATGCCACCTTTCCACGAGATTTGTTCCATTATGTGATTTTGGGCGAATTTTCTGTGTGACACTCCCGTGGACGGAAAAAAATAATTATTGACGCGATCAGTAAAATATATTCTTAGCTGACAAATCTGAGCTTTTACTCGATTGATACATTTCATTTCAACGCTAAAATAACGAATTGTTCATTGCGCTTAAATGTAGTCTTTACTGTCTTGTTTCCATTGATTTTTCTCCGTGTTTAATATTGCTACGTGTGTCAATGTACTCGTGTACCGATACATGGTATAAACTTAGTCGTAAATATCCTTATTTCGTGACTAACCGACCCGCCTGCGTTCTTCCTTTCACCACGAAACTGTACGGTTTTCGATTATACTATTTTGTTACAGCTGTGTAAGCTGAATGCTGTTAGAGACAGTCTCTTTTCTCTACTGCATACTCGCGTCTGTTGAACTTTTCCACCAACAATATTCCACGCCTCAATTTTTCTTCCACTGTCTTTAACATATGGCACATCAACTTTAAAACTAACAAATGTGTTAAGTTTTGTTTTTAAAATATTAAATCGATTTTATCTAGTAATGAAACAAACGGAGTTCCTTTGTCAGTGTAAAAAATGTATGATTTCACACTTTTATGGGTGTGATATACTGATACAGGAGTTACACCCAATAAAAAGTGTGAATTCACACCCTTCGTGAGTAAAAGTGATTTCACACTCCCAATAGAAATATGAAATATTAAACACTAATATTTTAAAGAAGTCATACTTCATACAAATATGCTTAATTTTCAATGTATACCTTTTAGAGAATTAGTTTCCTCGAAAATGATGTCTAAAACAGTTATTTTTCAATTTTCATAAACTACATTTTAAAATATATTTATACGTTAACACCATTACATACATAGCAGGAGTATGAAGTTTTATTTCTTCTAAATTGAAACCTTTAAGGGCGTGAATTCTCACTTTGTCAACAACAAGAATCGTATTCATTGGAATCATACTCCAATTACACATTTTTTCTTCTTAAGTTGATATAACAATTTGCTAAGGGATTTTTCAGTTCAGGCGCTCCATAGCTCAAGAAATTCGATTTCTTATCTCTTAAGGAAGAAATTATCTCACATGTTATTGTTCAAATATTTTTGTTACTTTGTAGTGTAACCTGGATAACCTTGAAGTACAAGGTAAACATACAGCTTAACAATGAATAAGCATCGTTGAGCAGAGAATATAGGTTTTAATTTTTCTTCTAAGGATACGAGAGGTATTTGTGATTAATTAAAGATAGCTTATAATTTTATAAAATATTATTATTTATTATAAAATTCTGTCCTAAATTCATAGGTAAAAAACATAATTTGTAATCTGTATTCTTTATTGTTCAGTTGAATATGATTGTTTCCAGGTAACAAACATCATTTTGTCTTCTTTTAATAGGTTGGGCGTGGTTTGGTGATTAGGTGGTATAGATCTGAGAATACATGGTTTGCGTTACAGCAAAAAAATCAGATTCTACACTTTAGGCTGTGGTTGCGTAATAAACGTAACAGTCAAATCCCCCTATTTGACTAGAGTCGCCCAATACTTGGCGGTTGGTGCTGTTTACTGGATGTTTTCCCAGTAGTCTATCAGTTCCTAAATTAAAGACAGCTAACACAGATAATCCTTGTGTAGCTTTGCTCGAATATCCAAACAAACAAAAATACATCTTTCAGTTAAGCTCTATAACTATGAAGCACGTTCTTCATTCAGTAAGTTACAACAAAGAGAAACTGCGTAATTCTGTATACTTTCAACTCTTAATTTTTAATACTTATCCTGTTCAACAATATTATCAGGAAACTGATATTGGCATCTGTGGGAACCTGATGTTGCATACATGAGCTAATTCCATTGTATTAGTTGTTAAATATAGTAAGACAACAGACCTAACATAGATGTAAAGCAGGAGATTACAGTCCAAGCTCATTTGTAAGAAGACTGTTAGCTAAAATATAATTTCGCATTTAATATTCACATTAGGTGCTGTCAACTTAATTATAGTTGAAAATCAGAAAAGCAAATATATAAGTAACCAAATAATAGTTTATAATTTGAGCTCAGAAATATGAAGTCTGTTATCATGCATAATGAGATTCACAATTAATATTCACTTATTAGAAAGCTGCCAAGTTAATCTTGTTTCATAACTGATATCAAGAAATGAAGTGGGCGGTAGCGAAATCGGATTCACAAACGAATACAAAATGGATTTGGAGTTATTTCACCCGTGATTTATTTCTCCAGTGCATGTAAATAACTCATTAAGAAAATTATCGTACAGCCTTGTGGGAAATCTAACTCTCATTTTAGCCCTCATGAACTTTATGACGCATACCACCCACATGTAGCGTAGACCAAAAGGTTAAACTGTACACTGAAAAAATGACCATTTTTCTAAAGAATCATCTAGAACCTAGAATTCCTGAACTAGAACGTGTTTTGACTCACTACATTTTATGCCATCATAAAAGTAGACTATGCACTGCTTTTAATGTAAGTTCGTGAAGCGTTGAAGCAATTTTCCTGAGCTGCAACTACAATCGCGTTACACTTCTGATCGCCATTTCCGGTTGGCTTAATCAGAAGTATAGTTTTTGAAGTTAGTCCTTCCGTTATATACGTAACACGGCAACTATGAGTTACACATTTTTTCTGGGGACTCATTAACATAAATCATTATCTACATCAATCGGTGTTAAAATGCGCAAGGTTACATTTAATTAAATACTTTCTTTTTCATTTAACAGAGTATGTATATATATATGTATATGTATGTAACTGGGAACCAGCTCCCTGATATCATTTGCCTATGAATATGCACAAATACATAAACAGGAGCATATGTGTAGAGACATATATTAATAAACTTTTATATGGCAATATATATCTATCTAGGATTCTTTGTTTTCCTTGTTGAATTATTATTTACGTGCCTTTGCGTTTAATGAAATCTAACGAAAATCCGGGAATGCAAATCATAAAAAAAACTATTCGTCGAAATAGAGAAATTTTCCAAAGAATTTCCATTTTTTTGTTGTTTAATTGACAACGGTTTCTTTATGTGACGAGAAATATAAAATGTAGATGTTCCATTTAACTTTAAGACTAACTGAAAATATTTTCATTATAAAGAAAAAGGCTCTAACTCTTTAATTTTAAATGTTATATTTTTGGGTTCAGAATTAGAAAAAAATGAAAATATATTACATGTCTATAAAAATTAGAGTAAAAAAATAACAAAGGGAACTTTACGTAAAGTACTGGAAATAATCATAGAACATTTGAAGGAAGGGTATAAAATCCAAATACTACAGGAATTCCATCCCTTAACCGCGTGTGAAAATTAAATACACCAAAGTAAAACCTGGTGTTGACAGTTTACACTGTTAGTGTATTTAGTCAAACTAGTCAAAAAGTGCTTCATCAGTACACACCAGTATAAAGCTTGTAATAGTACATACATTCACACTATATCCAACAATAGTAGTTGTGTGAATTCATTTATGATTCCCAGTATTGAAATACTGCATGATAAGCGTGTAAAAGTCAAAGTTTGGCTGTTTAACTACACTCCATGAGAAAAAAAAAAGTGCAGCAAAATTCCGAAGAGGGAACATGAAACCGGTAATATTAATAATCTAATAGCAGTTGTATAGGTAAAAAAACGGAAACTTTCCAAATGTGATGTTAAGTATCTCGGGGTATATTATTTACGAGATAAATGACGATCGAATATAGATCTAGCCAACGTTCTTGCTGTAAGTACAGATGTGGAAATAAGAACAGTAAGATACACATTATATCGAAGTGGTTCAGGGAACGTGTAACCACAGAATAGAAACAAAAAGATGAAAAGATTGATGTGAATTGGACGACAGTCAGAGGAATGATTAAAGTTAGGGATATGTGTTATTTGTAGATGAATGCGAGTCTGAATCGTTTGGGAACATTCAACAACAGCTTGTTTGTCGACGGGGAGTAGAATCCGTGTCATAATTGATAAACAACATCTACAGTAAAACATGGTGGAAGGAGCAGTGCAAGTTTAGATGTCGGTGATCAAAACAAAATGGTTGACACCCTCACTGCTGACAAATACATATACAGATTTATCGTGCTATTTCCCCAGGAACACGACACATCAGGAGGGAATTCACCTTCCACCAAGACAGTGAACCCAAGTAAACATCGAATGTGGTAAACCGATACGTTGACAGTAAAGAAGCGATTGTAGAGCTCGTAATCACTTCCTTACCTGCATAAAATCAAGATAAGAACATTTGTGTAAAAAACTGAGAGTCTCAAAAAGTGACTGAATCTCTTGGTTGTAAATTGGTGGTATAATAAAAAACATTTGTAACAATATTTCACAACCTTACGCTCATATACACTATGAAGAAAAAATAGGCGCTATACAAAATGCAAACCAAAGATATCACATAAAATATACCAGTGTATTGTATAACTTGTCGTTTCGCTTGTGTGTTCTATAATAATGTTTTGTACTAATAATAAATTCACCATTTAGTTGCCATTACTAATTCTTTGTGATTACTGTATATGTATTGCTTGTGTGTTTCCGTTATTATTTCAATTATTGTATCTTTTTTTCTTGTATTAGATTTAGACAATGAGTAGAAGTACTCTTGTTACTCTGTACTAGTAGTGGCCTACATTTCACCTGTATAATATCATCTAACGGTATTCAATTACATTACAAAATTATGCATCTTCTTTTGGTTTTTAGTAAATAGAAACAAATAAAAGTTTATGTTAAAACATTTTCTGGTTAAGTGTTGTATTACTGTTTACGTTATTATTTAACAAACTTAAATATATACATAAACTATTATATTTTCTATGACACGAAAATACAAATATATAGTTATACATCGTATAGAATGTTTAGTAATTTCACAAACAAAGTTTGAAAGACATAATAAAGTGGGAACAATATACTGAATATATTTTTCTCCACTAAACGACCAGAGTGTGTTGATTTATGATTTTACCAAGATGCTTCAAATTAACATAAATATTTCATTTTTCACTACTGAAATGCACTGCAAATGGACTGCATAATTAAATGTATAAAGCTGACTGAAAGTCGGAAGATATCATTACGACTATATATATATACATGAATTATGGTTGAGCATTTAGTTGTTTATTGTCTGTGTTGCTAACTTCACAACAGTTATGTAAAATTTCGTCGATTGTAGCACATGATTTCCTTGAAAAAATACGCCCACACAAAGATGTTGATTGTCCCTGTACTATACCGTTTTGGTTAAGCACAAAGCTACACAATGAGCTATCTGTGCTTTGCCCACCACGGATATCGAAACCCGGTTTCTATCGTTGTAAGTCCGCAGGCATACCGCTGTGCCACTAGGATGGGAGTGTGGGCTGATTGTCCCTGTACTATACGGTTTTAGTTAAGTACAAAGCTACACAATGGGCTATCTGTGCTTTTTCCCACCACGGGTATCGAAACTCGGTTTCTAGCGTTGTAAGTTTGCAGACATACCGCTGTGTTACTGGGGTGTGGGTGTGCTGATTGTCCCTGTGGTATAGCTCTAGATTTCAGAGTTGGCAAGTTAGATTTAAATCTATACGATACCACTCATTATTCTCTACACTTCAAACTGAGAGTACGTTATGAGAGTGACAGGCTATCTATTATTGTAAACAGTAGGTGGTAGAGTGCTGCTGAGTGGCTGCCTTCCCTCTTGTCAGTAGTTCAACATTAGGGACGACGACAAATAACCTTAGTAGCTTTACCATAAATACAAATACACAATACAATTAGATATTGTTTATTGGTTAGTGTTTGGAGTAGCATTATATCATAATAAATTGGATGATTCATAATATCTTCTTTTTTTAAACTGGACCTATATGGATTTTCAATAAGAAAAACTTAATAGTATCTCGACCGCTGCCGTCGAAGCCTTTCTCCGAATATCACAACTCATCAGGTCGGCTGGGCATGCAATACCCAACGTTTTGATGGAAATTATTTTTATGTTAATCATCTACAAGATATCAATAATTAAGTTATATACCGCATTATACAAGCGAAGCTTGATCTGTAGGTCAACATTGATCTGTCAGACAACGTTTGTGGCATTACATCATGATAAAGTGATGTTATACTAGCAGATGTTCGTTGAAACAGTTCAATGACAATTTTTCGATAAATCGTGATGAACAAATATAAAATATGCAGTTAACCCAATCCCTTGGATCAGAGCGTATATAATTGTTTTGTAAAAAACAAACATATCGTGGGTCGATG